GATAAATAGTTTGCAGCTGAACCTATTAAAATTAAAAAAGGTCCTAAATGGCTATTGCTAGAAGAAGCTTTATAGCTTTGGGTTCAAAGAGCTCTTGGTGCTGAAATAGATCTTAATGATAGAGTTTTGCAAAAAAAAGCTATTCAGTTTGCAAATACTCTTAATATTGAAGAATTTAAAAGTTCTCTTGGATGGGTAGGTAAATTTAAAAAAAGGCATAATATTTCAGAATTTACAAAAACAGGTGAAGGTGCAAGTGCTTCTTTGGAAACTCTTTCTGAAGAATGAAAAAAAATACAAGAAATAATTGTTAATGGAAATTTTAAATTAGAAAATATTTTCAATGTAGATGAAACAGGATTGTTTTGGAGATTAGAACCTAGCAAGACTTTAGTAACACATTCTCTTAAGGGACATAAAAGTTAAAAGAAAGAGTAACAATTTTATTGGGTAGTAATGCAGCTGGAACTGAAAAGATAGTTCCTATCTTTATTGGTAAATCAAAAAACCCTTGGGCTTTTAGAAAAATTAAAAAAACTGATTTTGCTAAAATCAATATCTAATATGAATATAACAAAACATATTGGATGCAAGTATCTATTTGGAATGAATGGTTATTAAATTTGAATTATAAAATGGCTAATCAAAATTGAAATATTATTCTATTGATTGATAATTCTTCTGTTCATAAGCTTTATTCAAATACTGTACTTACAAATATTCAAATCCATTTTTTGCTACCAAATACCACATCATATCTGCAACCATGTGATGCTGATATTATTCATAGTTTTAAAGCTCATTATCGTAAGCTTTTTGTAGATGATAGAATTGAAGCTTATGATGCTCTTGGAAATACAACTAATCAAATAAGAGAATTTACAATTTTGGATGCATATAAACTTACTGAAAAAGCATAGAATAATGTTACTGAAAAAACTATTAAAAATTGTTAGAAATCTACTGGAATTCTACCAAATTTTTTATCTAATGGAAAACCAATATCTTCACTTTTAATTACTTCTTTTAATACTAATATTAGTACTGATTCTAATACAATTAGTACTAATATTAATACAAGAGAAAGTAGTCCAAATTATGAAGCTCAAGCAACTACAGTTGTTTATAACCATATTATTACTAGTAAAGAAGGAACAACAACTCTTCATAAAACTAGTACAACTAATATAGATAATATGACTACAAGGATTCAAAATAATACTATCACTATCAATCAACATGGTACTATTACTTCTATTCAAGATAGTACTATTACTAAGAATCTTACTAGTTTACATGAAGATGAAATTCAATTAGCTAAACAAGAATTTTTAACTGAACATATAAATGAAGTAAATGTAATCCAAAATTCTATTAATCAATTAAATTTCACAAATTCTATGTCAGCTTAAGGTTAGTAAATTTTATATTTATATTATAATATTTAATAAGACTTCTAGATTTAGTTTGAGTTTGATTTAAATTTAATTAAATTTCAAATTTAAATCAAATTCAAATAATGAATTTTATTAATAATTACTGTATTGTTATGAAATAATGGGTATGGGCATTATTTAAAAAATTGAACTCTCTAAAACTTACTCATATAGCTTCAAAATAATGCCTATGCATGTTCTTAAATAATGTGTATCTAGGGTTGGCAATGAAGCTCAATAGAGCTATGAATAGAGCAAATAAATACTAGTTTTTTGAGCTCCATTCACATTAACTGTTCAACTCTATTGACTCTATTGTCAACCCTGCATGCATCCCACGTACAAACCTGTTTTTTTGAATCTTAAATAATATTAGGCTTAGCAAATTACTCTTTATTTCAAAATAAAACTCATGGGCATATTCTAAATAATGCACATATACTTTAAATAATGCGCAGATAGGTGTTTTTACAAAACAATATGGTAAATGAATTTTCTATAATGAATTAAATAATTTTAAAAAATTAGTAATATATTTTCAGTAATTTGATTAAATAGAATACAAAAATCTGCCTTATCTTACTGACAATATTTTACTAAAAACTTATTTGACTAATAGCCAAGTGACAATTTACTAAAAATATATATTTGCAACTAGTCAAATGCTAAACCTAACCCTATATAATGTTGGCTAAATAAACTTTCAGTAAAATCATTGTCAGTGAAGTGAGCAGTATCTAATAGCAAAAATATATGTGCCAAATAATGTGAACAAATAGTTTATGAATATTTACCATCTAATTTTATATTATTTGCGGTAATTTTAAATAACTTTATTTATTCGCATTGATATAGTAAGTATAAAGGACATTTATTAATTTAATTATTTCAAATAGGCTATTTTTTATGAATACTTATTATTTAATTTAATTCTATTTATATTAATCTAAAAGGTTAGTATTAATCAAATGTCTAAAATATATTCTTCATAAATATTTACTATTTAATTTGATTTTATCTATGTTAATTTAGAAAATATCAATGGAAAGAGATACTGAGATACTGATAAATATTACAAGTTGAAAGGGTGGACATGCCATTAATTTATTATCAAATTTGTAGATATGGGATGCTAATGAAACTGATAATTGATAATTATGAAAGAGTACTTGAGTTGAGAAGGATGAACATAGGCATTTATTTATTTTCATAAATCTGCTAAGATGGGACACTAGTAGTATATAACATATTGGATAGTGTTAAGATGAAGGAATTAGAAAAAAGATGAACATAAGGCATTCATTTATTATCAAAAATTATCAGAGATGGGTGATGCTAGTAGGACAAATAATGTCAGATATTGTTATTGTCATGGAATTGGAGTTGAAAAGGATGAACATAAAGCATTCATTTATTATTAAAAATCTGTAGAGATGGGTGATACTGGCGAAACAAATAATGTTGGATATTGTTATTGTCATAAAATTGGAGTTAAAAAAGATAACATAAAGAATTCGCCTATTATCAAAAATCTGCAGAGATGAGTGATGCTAGTGAAACAAATAGTGTTGGATATTGCTATGATGAAGAAATTGAAGTTGAAAAGGCTAAACATAAGGCATTCATTTATTATTGAAATCTACAGAGATAGGTGGTGCTATAGAATAAATGAGAATGAAATTTGGGTTTACAAGAATAAACATTTATTATCAAAAATTGGCAATGGGTAATGCTAATGGAACAAATAAGTACTAGATATTTTTGTTATGATAAAGAAAAAGACTGAACATAAGGCATTCATTTATTATCAAAAGTCTGTAGCGATAAGTGACACTATAGAATATATGAGAATAGAATTGAAGTTTACAAGGATGAATATTTATTATCAAAAATTGGCAGAGATGGAGAGCGTTAGTGGAGCAAATAGTGCTAGATATTGTTATCAACATAGAATTTGAGTTTACAAGAATAAACATAAGGCATTCATTTATTATTAAAAGTTGGCAGAGATAGTGACGCTAGTGAAACAAATAGCATTGGATATTGTTTGTTATGATAAAGAAATTGGAGATAAAAAGACTAAACATAAGGCATTCATTTATTATCAAAAATCTGCAGAGATGGTTACGCTATAGAATATATATGAAAATGAAATTGGATTTACAAGGATTATTAAAAATCAACAGAGATAGGGAGCGTTAATAGAACAAATAGTGTTGGATATTGTTATTATCATGGAATTCGAGTTTCCAAAGATGAACATAGGACATATTTATTATCAAAATCGGTAGAGATGAATGATGCTAGTGAAACATATAGTGTTGAATATTGTTATTGTAATAGAATTAAAATTGAAAAGGATGAACATAAGACATCTGTTTATTATAAAAATCTGCAGAGATGTGGGATGCTGATAGAAAATAATGTTAGATATTGTTATCATTATGGGATTAGAATTGAAAAGGATGAACATAAAGTATTCGTTCATTATCAAAATCTACAGAGATAGAAGGCACTAAGGAAATGTAATATTAGATATCGTTATAGAAAGGAAAATTGGGGCTAGAAAGAATGAACATGAGATATTAATTTATTATCAGAATGTTAAATATATTATGATAAAGGAATTAGAATTAAAATAGATGAACATAAGACATTCATTTATCATCAAAAATCTGCAGAGATAGGAGGTACTAAAGAAACATATAATGTTTGATATCAATATGAAAAAGGAATCGGACTTAAAAAGGATAGCATTTATTTATTTTAGGATTAATATCGGATATTGGTATCAAAAGGGAATTGGAGTTGAAAAGGATAAATATAAGGCATTTATTTATTATCAAAAGTCATAGAGATATCTAAATATAATCCAAAGTTTGATTTAGTTTAATAAGAGCTCTACTATTTAATTATAATTTATTATTAAAATTTTTTTATTATTAAACAATCGTTTTGATAAAAAAATTTTATTATTATTAAAATTTAATTACAAATTTTAAAATTATTAAAATTTTAATATTATTTTGATTATTTTAAAATTAAAATAATATAATATAAAATTCTTATAATTTTGATTTTATAATTATGTTTTAACAATTTTAAATTTATCAAAATGAAATTATTTATTATTAAATGTTTTTTTTTTTTTTTTTTTTTGTAAATGCCATAGTTGAAACTTTATTTAAAAAATAGAAATGATCTATATTAAAAGATTTCAAACTACACT